GGGGTTTAGGGTTTACGGTTCAAAGGACCCAAATCAGATTGCTAAGTCCTTACTTTCCACTGTACAGATACTGAGTACCTCCTGGGTAGATGAGGAAATCACAACCCCAAGGGTGTAATTGATCTCCATTGTTATTATTACTTTGTTTAGTAAGTCGGGTTGTATTCATGATAAGCTCCTAACTTTAATATCAACTCAGGATAATCTAACCAGGGTTCAGGGGTGGCTTTATACCTTTTATTAAGTTATCAAAAACTCCAAAGCTTAAGTTGTTCACCGAAGGAATAGCATTCCCGGAGACTTGCTTGCTCAGAGTGTAAGGTATAATACCGCGAAGCGCCAACCCCAACCTGAACACCCTAAACCTACTGCATACCCTGCGCCCCCCCCCCCCCCCCAACAAACCCTGCAAATCTCTGATCCCCTCTAGGAAAACCTTGTTGTAGCACCGCCCGAAAAACCATGTGACAACCACCCGAAAACATAATGCAACCTCTATGAACCAGTATGAACCCCTGAACGTCTTTTCTCTGAAAACACTAATTAAGGACTATTCGGGAGGCGCGATTACAGAATTGTACTGATTGTGTACTCATTCTTTAACCCCATTCAAACCCTTCTGTTACCCTAACCCTAAGCCCTCCTCACCTTCTTCTGCTCCATGCGCTTTTCGGTGGCCTTCTCGCCTTGGAAAACCGACGGGGTGCTCGCTGATAGCTCTCGGCGCCGAACCGTAAGAGCCCAGTTGCTTGCCTAAGGGCTTCTTTAAGGGCTCAGGGGCACCCTAAACCCTAAACCCTAAACCCATTTCGTGAAGGGCCTTTTACAAAAACATATGAGTTTTCACGTGTGGAACTTGGGGGGTATCCTTAGCAGAACTATTAAATTAAACAAATCGCAGACCCAAATGCTAGGTCCGACTAGACAAGGTTCAAGGTACTGGGTTTGGTTTACTTACTTAACCAATAAGCCATGGAAAAAGTTAAACTTTCAAATTGCTCCTAAATCATAAAAAAACCCAGCAAGGTTAAGGTTTCCTTATCACGGGTGCTACAGGATATATATCCCTAAACCCTAAACCGTCCGGGGCCCCCCACTGTCGTGCAGGTACTTGTCGGCGAAGGTATCCACGAAGCCGGGGACGAACTTGTCCCAGTGCTGACGGAGATCAGTTTTGAGCATTTTTTTGGGGGGGGGTTTAGCAGTACCCTAAACCCTAAACCCTAAACCGTGGAGGGTGGGCTTCGGCTTTAGGGTTTAGGGTTGAAGGGTTCAAGTTCAGGTCGCGGCTCTCCCGGTCAGCTGTGTAGCAAATCTTCTTCAGCTCTGTAAGCGATAGACGGTTTAGGGTTTCCGAAAATAGGGGATCCTAATCTAGTACCCTAAATGATAGGATCCTTATTATAAGGACCCCAAAATAAGGCACCCTGATTTTCGGAAACTCCCAGACGGCTAAGGACGGAACCCCAGCCGGCAACCAATTACCTCACCAGCCATAGCCCTCAAACCCTAAGCCAGCACCCCCCCCCCCAACTCTTTACCGTCTAAGCCCTATAATAAAGCTGAACTTCCGGTGCCACAAGATCGTAATCCAAAGTCCCAAGTGCCCAAAACCCACCGAAGTAGCTACGAAACTCTGGAGCTCTAGAAACATGTAAAGTATAAGCCATCATAAGCCCTCCCACCCCCCGGAAACTGAAATCCTAAACCCTAGAACCTTGAGCTCCCAACCCCCAAAATCCGAAACTTTGGGCCCCCAAAACCCTACACCCTACATCCCTATAGACCCGAAATTCTGAAACCCTTTTATGGATAGTTCTCGAAAGTAGGGTCCCTTTGGGGGTCCTTTTTGTCAGGGTGCCTTGGGGACCTAAACAGGGACCCTAACTAAGAGAGAACTACGCGCATCTCAAAGAGGCGACCTTCATCTCCTTCTGCTGCTTCTGCTCCGGCTGCTGCGGCTGCTGGGGCCTCCGTGCAAAGGGAAGGGTTCAGGGCTGGGGGCTTCAGGATTAGAATAGTGGTTCCTGTAGGATTCTGTAGGGTTTCTTGGTGTTGTGGGGCTTTCAGTGGCAGCAATAATCCAAATCGATCTCGGGGTATACTGTACTCATACTAATACCATAATGATACAGAGGGTTATCAGGAGGTTACCAATATTGATGATGCAGGTCCACATATCATAGGGCTTCTGATAGAAGTGTAGCATATATACAACACCATTATGGAAATAACATTTGCCCTCGAAGCCCTAATGGGGATGGTTTTGGGGACAAAATTCCATGACTGTCGTATGGATCTATATCCTTGTACAAATCTCATAACAACCCATAAAGAACCCTTAGACAAGCATTGTAATGCCTCATAGCCTTGTAGAGGCCGTTTACAGCCCTTATAGAACTTGTGTACAACCCGTTCAAGGTTGAGTGTGTCTGGCTTGCTTCGGTCTACAGCGTTTGGGATGTGCGTACTTTTTGCGACTGAGGCTTCAGGCGTGTGAACTTGGGCTTAGGATTTGAGGGAGCAGCCGCCAATGTGATATGGTCGAGTCCTTCTGGTGACTACGCACTCGAAGCCAGCCGACTTCCACAAAAACAGCTTTGTCACAACTGATCGACGGCATCTTTTGAGCACGAGAGATGCATCTCTCGGCATTGGCATCAACATAAGTTAGCACTTTGATCTCAACCATGTCGACGCAAAAGTCCACCAGCAAGTTCGGTGAGAATTCCCGTCGGCAAACCATGTCTTGAACTCGACCCTCCTGTGACTGCTGTCGCGTGGCCCTTTCAGCGGCTGGAAGCTTCGTGACAACAGCATCTCTCGCATGTTAAGACGCTGAATGACTCTGAGCTTCAAACCAAGTTCGACGTTCTCGGAGTAGTGCCAGCCCCAGCCATGCATCGGGGGCAGCGTCATCTATCCGAACGTATCGATACCTTCGTGCTTCAACTCCCTGGGAGTGCCCTCACTCAAACAAATCCTGCGTGTCAAGACCATGCGACTTTGTGGTATCGGGTTTCGTAAGTACCTGTAGGGTTTCAAACCCAACCATGCGGCAACCTCCCAGAATGAACCGAAGGTCCTAAACCCAAACCCCCGACGCCTCTATCTCAAACCGAAGCCCATAATCATGGCAGGAGCAAGCCCTCCAAAGTGCAAAACAAGCAGGAACACCAGCTAAACTCTAAACCCTGGACCCTAACTTAAAGCTGCAGGCCCTATACTTCCCTAAGCAACAAAAGGCCCCAAGTCCAAAATCCCAGAGCTACTGAAGGGCTGTAGAGTTTTAGACTTTTCTGGCTAAGGGCTCCAGGTTATAGAGGAAACCTTAAAGGACTTTAAAGGACACACCATAAACACCCGAAAGGCCCCCGAAACCCTGTGCGGTAGCCGAGGCACTGCTGCGGCTGCGGCGCTTGCTGCGGCTGCTCGCCCATGAAACCCCTGCGTACCAATCTTCAGTTTGGGTTTAGATCGCCCTCTTTCTCGTCGTCTCTCTTTGGTCTCGCTCTCTCTATCCCTCCCTCCCTCTTGCCCTGAATCCCTCTGTCTCTGAGGAGCGGTCAGCGGATGTGCCAAGAACATCGCTGGGGCCTCGCACAACGAATTGGCATCTCTCTTTAGGTTCAGGGTCATAATATCATTAACTGATGTAGGCACTTTAAAACAATAGGATAGGGCTTGGGTATATATATATATACTAAGTTATATA